AGGTCAGAGGTCGCCATTACCGGTGAGGGCAAAACAAAACCCACCCCCAAGCAGTACTGCAGTACTGTCCTAAGGAAGCCAAGGAGGCTCAAATCTGGGAGACTTCAGAGGTAAAAATCTGGCAATTCAGCACCATCTACTGGAACATAGTAGAAGGACCTCTTCAGAGATAAATGCAAAAAACAAAGGAGGGCAACAAATACCATGAAGAACCACAGTAACAATGATGACCAAAAAGAAAATGAAAAAATCCCCAGAAAGCAGGCTGGAACACAAAGAATTACGTGATATAAATGATAGAGTTCAAGATTGCAGTTCTGAAAATACTCAACGAGATGCCATTCAGTGGACTCAGAAAACAAATCAAGCCCTAACCGGTTTGGCTCAATGGATAGAGCATCGGCCTGTGGACTCAAGGGTCCCAGGTTCGATTCCGGTCAAGGGCATGTACCTTGGTTGCGGGCACATACCCAGTGGGGAGTATGCAGGAGGCAGCTGATCGATGTTTCTCTCTCATCGATGTTTCCTACTCTCTGTCCCTCTCCCTTCCTCTCTGTAAAAAAATCAATAAATAAAATATATTAAGAAAGAAAGAAAACAAATCAATGAACAAAATAAATATTTCTCCAAGGACATTGAAACTTTCAAAAAGAATCAGAAATCCTGGAAATGAAGCATTCAATTAAGTAGGTTAAGAGTGAATTGTTGAGCATAGGAAACAGAACAAACCAGTTAGAGGAAAGAACTAGTGATATTAAAGATAGGAATCAAGAAATGATGCAGAGGGAAGAAGAGAGAGACCCGAGAATAAAGAAAAGTGAAACAGCGCTACAAGACTCTTACTCCATCAGAAAAAGTAATATCAGAATCAGGCATTGTGGAGGAGGAAAGAGAGAGCATGGAATGGAGAGTCTATTAAAACAAATAGTGGCTGAGAACTTTCCAAATTTATGTAAAGAACTAGATCCTTGAATCCAAGAAGCAAACAGAACATTTAGTTACCTCAATCCAAAGAGGCCTTCTCCAAGGCACTAGGTAATGAAACTATCAAAAATTAATGAAAAAGAAAACATTCTCAAAGTAGCCAGGGAAAAGAAGGATGTGAGTTACAAAGGCAAACCCATCAGAATTTCATCTGACTTCTCAGCAGAAACTACAAGCCAGAAGAAAGTGGACCAAATATTCAAATGTCTGAAAGAGAGAAATTATCAGCCATGAATGATACATCTGCAAAATTATCCTTTAAATATGAAGGAGAAAAAAAGACATTCCCAGGCAGACAGAAACTGAAGGATTTTATCACCATAAAACTTTCATTGTAGGAAATATTCAAGGGAATTATTCTACCTGAAACAAAGAACATTAAGGTCACAACACTACAAGTAAGATCATCAAAAAACGTACAACATAAACAGGGATAATTTGTGACAACAAAAACATACAAGGGGAAGGGGGAAGGTCCGAGCTGGCAAAGAAAGATGAAGATCAGATGTGCTCAAAAGGAAACTCAACACCAAACAAACAATCCAATCAAAAAGTGTGCAGAGGACCTGAAAATACACCTCTCCCAAGAAGACATACAAACAGCCAATTGATATAGGAAAAGATGTTCAACCTCCCTGGCAATTAGGGGCAATGCAAATAAAAACTACAATGAGATACCACCTAATACTTGTTAAGACTGGCCATTAACAACAAGACAGACAATAACAAGTGTTGGAGAAGTCGTGGAAAAACAGGAACCCTCATTCACAGCTGGTGGGAATGTCGACTGGAATCATCACCATGGAAAGCAGTCTGGTGATTCCTCAAAAAATTAAGAATAGAGCTACCATATGACCCAGCAATCCCACTCCTGGGTATATACCTAGAAAACTCGAAATCATGTATTTGGAAAGATATGTTTTGTACACCCCTATGTTCATTGCAGCATTATTCTCGGTGGCCAAGACATGGAAACAACCAAAGTGTCCCACAATAGAGGACTGGATAAAGAAGACGTGGTACACAATGGAATAATAGTCAGCCACAAGAAAGGATGAAATAGCGCCATTTGCAACAACATGGATGGACCTTGGGAACATTATGCTAAGTGAAATAAGTAAGAAAAAGCCAAGAACCATATGATTTCACTCATGTGGGATATAAAACTGAAACATGAACACAAACAGCAGAATGGTGGTTGGCAGAGGGGAGAGGGTCCTAATATAAGGTGACAGGAGAAGATTTGACTTTGGACGGTGGGCACATGGTGCAATACACAGATCTTGTAACAGAAACCCACACATGAAACCTATAGGTTCACATGTTGACCAATGTCACCCCAATCAATTTAATTAAAAAAAATAGATGATGATCTTAGTGGATTGATCATCCCTCCACTTATAAAAATTATATTGCTGGAGACTGAAATGGAAAAGACATTGTTATCCCAGAGGCTTCATATGAAGCCTTGTTCAGAATATCTGTTCTGGATGTAGACTGGAGATGTGCATTGCTTTAACTTCCCCACTGATCATTAGATGATGTGAAATTAATAAAAATCTAAGATTCTGAAAAGGAGTTCCTATTTCAAACTTCTTAAACTTTTTATGTGCCCTAGGGTTTCTGTTGATCCATTTCCCTGACCCATCAGCCTGAAATTCTAGAAAGTCAGCAGTCGTGCCATATTCTGTGGCACCCAGTTCTAGATATTACATGTAATATGTTTTAATTGTTGAATGAATAAATTGTGTTAACTTTCAATTCCTTGTAGAAATTTCTTCCTTTGTATTTCTAATTTAGATATTCCTTACGTTACAAACATGTAACTCAATTGGCATTTATACAGCTATCTTCTTACTAAGCATTTCTTATGTGGTCTGGATTTCTCAGAATAATGAAGTCTGTGGCTTGTTAGTGTAGTCACTTTGTTTTGGGGATTAATGTGTGATTGCTTAAATTTAGCAGAACTAAAGTTATCCGTTAGTCCTCCCCCTTTGTGGATGTCTGGTGAAACCCAGCATTAAAGAGGGGAAGTGAGGTAATGTATGGAGAAGTTACCGAGTACCTGGAGCCTCCCATGTTCTTTTTCTACAGAGAGTAAACTGCTTGCCTCCTGCTGGTGATGCAGACAGTGGCTGGCTTCCAGAGGGGGAAGGGCAGGCCTGGGGATCTTATTCTCCCTTATATGAACTTTCAACCAGTTTTCCCGTTTTCAACCCTTTCCTTCAGTTCCCCCTCTCTTCCCCTTTTGTGGTCCTTCTATTCTGAGCCTTTCTGAAACTCTAGGTAGACATCACTTTTTCCTAATTGGCACACCTTCAGTAGGCATTGAAGTTTCAGATCTCTCCACTCTGCAAAAGTAGTCATTACCTTTTCTTTTTCTGTTTTCCTTCTTCCAAAAAATTATTGTCTCCTGTTATCATTCTTGTTCTATTCTTTGTTCTGGGATTATGCCTTTTTTATTTTTTAATTTTTATTTTTTTAAACATGAAAACTGTTTGTTTTTTAAAAATATCTTTTTATTGATTTCGGAGAGGAAGGGAGAGGGAGAGAGAGATAGAAACATCAGTGATGAGAATCATTGATTGGCTGCCTCCTGCACGCCCCCAACTGGGGATCAAGCCCTCAACCCAGGCATGTGCCCTTGACCGGAATCGAACCCAGGACTCTTCAGTCCACAGGCTAGCACTCTATCCACTGAGCCAAACCAGCCAGGGCTTTATGCCCTTTTTAAAAAAATCAACTTTAGCCCTGCTAGTGTGGCTCAGGGGTTGAGTGTCAACCCATGAATTGAGAGGTCACTGGTTCAATTCCTGGTCAGAGCACAGCCTGGGTTGTGGGCTCAATCCCTGGGTGGCGGTGTACAGGAGACAACCGATCGATGTTTCTATCTCTCTATCCCTCTCTCTGACTCTAGGTAAAGTCAATAAAAACATTTTTAAAAAAATCATGTTTATCAAGTTACTGGAAATTCAAGTGGGAGCTAAAGTGAACATGGGTTCAACCCTCCCCTGTTTTCATCTAGACTGCTTCTTTTCACCTATTTGGAAGGACATTTTTTTCTTTTTAAGTGACATGTAAATACCCACCAGGGCAAGTTGTCAACAAAAGTGGCGTTTGTTTTCATTTTAGTCTTGGTCATGAAGGTCTTATGCCAAGAAATGGGCATTCAGTCTTTTCAGTGCCGTTCGTGTTCTGTTTCAGAGTTCTTGGTACAATTTCTAATATTAGAGATGGTTTTATTTTGGTTCTGTGATCTTCCTGAGCCATGTGCTGCCAGAAGTCTTACAAATCTCTAGCAAACTGTTACAAATTACAATAGTTATGGTAGTCAGCATTCTATGATTTAATTACTATATGGACACCTTTCCCCTCCCCCTGATTTTTAGTAGGAGCATTATTTCCCGCCCTGGGAAGAATGGGATTGATAATACATGTGGGCTATTATTTAAAGAGAACTACCATTTTAACTTTTCTTTGCCTTTCCTATTGTATTTCTTTTTTAAAAATTTTATTTCTATTATTTACTAACCTGAAACATAATTTTAGCTCTTAAGTCAGTTTGAATACACATATGATTTTTTCTTTCCAAGTATTTATTCTGTAATTTGACTTGCATTTCAATTTTTTTTTCTCTATTCACATAATATTGTATACGCTAATCTGGTATTGGAACTTAAATTGGTTTGTGATACCTTATGTTAAAGTGTTAATTGATGGGCGTGGTTAACCTAAGTATTCTTCAGAGGTGGTTAAAAGTTCTCTACTAATTCTCATAAGTCTGAAGATGATGCTTGTTTAACACTACTGTTTGGATATTAGCAGGCTACTTTCTGTTTTAGATTAGAATTGAGAATAAATTATTAATCTTAAACTTTTGTATTTCTTTATATTTGCTGTTTTTCCCTTTATTTCCCAAACAGTTTATCAAAAGGTTTACATATAATTTGATTTCAAAATGTCTCTGAATCATTGAATTAGTTAAAATTTTATGGAAAACTGTCTTCTGTTTTCAGGTTCTGTTCTGGACATTATTAAGCACATTGTGGCGAAGGGGGAACACAAAAGTGGAGTCCTAGACGAGCCTGCCATTGCTACAATACTCAAAGAAGTGTTGGAAGGGTTGGAATACCTGCATAAAAATGGGCAGATTCACAGGTACGTAAAAGGCAACTCCCTTATCTTTTGGATAAGTGCAGTGGTAGTTGTGCTATATCATTTCATTGAGGCCGCTTCCTATTCTTTTGCAGAATTAATCATAATCTGAGTGTTAACATGGTTCTTTGCATTACTAGTTTTCATACATTGTGGTTAGGGTTTTAATTACACAGCTAGTATTTTAAAATACAAAACAGGAAAAATTCCCAATTTCTTATCAGGAGGCAGTCACTGCAATCACTGATAACATTTTTGACTATTCCTTCTTAGTCTCTTTCATGTGCTAAAAAATATTTCAGATAAACCTGTATATGTAATTTTGTTTCTTTTTTGTTTCTTTTACATCTTGAATATTTTCTCAAATTTTTAAAAGCTCTTTGTAAAATAATATTTTAATTAAAACTTTAAAATAACACTTCAAAAGCTGTGTAACACAGTTATACAATAATAGTAGGGGATTTTAATATGCCACTCAGGTTAGTGGATAGATCATCCAGACCACAGAAAATTAATATGGAAATAATGACCTTAAATGTCACATTAGACCAGATGGACTTGATAGATATTTATGTAACATTTCATCCAACAAACACAGAATACACATTTTACAAGTGCATACAGAACATTCTCCAAAATAGATCATATATTAGGCAGAAAAACAAGCCTTCATAAATTCAAGAAAATTGACATCATATCAAGCATCTTTTCCAACCACTATGGCATAAAACTAGAAATCAACTACAGGAAGAAAACTGGAAAAAACACAAATACGTGGAGACTAAATAACATGCTATTAAACCAATGGATCAAAGAGGAAATTAAAACAGGAAATAAACTATCTTGAAACAAATGAAAAGGAAAACACCAACTTTTCAAAACTTGCAGCAAAAACAGTTTAAGAGGGAAATTCATAGCTATCCAGGCTTACCCCAAGAAACAAGAAAAACTCCAAATAGCTCTAACTCTACACCTAAATGAACTAGAAAAAGAACAAATAAACCCAAAGTAAACAGAAGGAAAGAAATAGAAATAGTTATGATCAGAGCGGAAATAAATAAAATAGAAATATGTAAAAAAAAAAAAAAAAGAAAAATCAATAAAACTAAAGTTGGTTTATTGGAAAGATAGATAAAATTAGCAAATCTTTAACCAAACTCATCAAGAAAAAAAGAGTAAGAGCCCAAATAAGTAAAATTACAAATGAAAGGAACGTTACAACTGACATCTCTGAAATACAAAGAATCATTAGAGAGTAGTACAAACAATTATATGCCAACACATTTTTGAGAGTGTAGAAAAAGGGTAAATTTGTATAACCTCAGATTCAATTATGAAGAAATAGAAAATCAGAACAGACCAGTTACTAGTAAGGAGACTTAATCAGTCAAAACCTCTCAGCAAAGAAAAATCCAGGATCAGATGTCTTCCCTGGAGAAGTCTACCCAAATTTTTTAAAAACTAACAACAATCCTTCTCAAACTCTTCCAAAAAATAGAAGAAGAGGGAACACTTCCAAACTAATTTTAAGGGCTGGCATTTCACTGATACCAAAGCTAGACAGGACACTACAAGAAAAAATTTACTGACCAATATCCCTGGTGAATGTAGATGCAAAAATTCTCAACAGAATATCAGTAAACTGAATTGAACAATGCATTAGGATCATACCATGATCAAGTGAGATTTATTTCAGGGATGCCAAGATGGTCCAACATTTGCAAATCAATCAATATGATATACCACATTAACAAAATGAATAATAAAAATCTTATGATTGTCTCAATAGATTAAAAAAAAGCATTTGACAAAATTCAACATCCTTACATGATAAAAACTCTCAACAAACTGGCTATAGTGGTAATGTACCTAACATAATAAAGACCATATATGACAAACCCACAGCTTATGTCATACCCAAAGTGAAAAGCTGAAAGCTTTTTCTCTAAGATCAGGAACAAGACAATAATGCCTACTCTCACCATTTTTACTTACTTATTTTTATTATTTTATAAACAAGTGTTAAATTCCTATAGCGTCTCATCAACATTATAATGAAATGATGTTGAATGAAAGACATTAATACAGGACCTGCTGTAGTTGATAACAATACTAGTATATTGTATTATTGCAATTTGCTAAGAGAATAGAATTTAAATGTTCTCACCAAAAAAATGTAAATATGTAAGGTGATAGATGTGTTAAGTTACTCGATGAGGGTGGAGTCCTTTCTCAGTATATACCTATATCAAACCATCACATTCTTTTTTTTTTTTTTTTTTTAATATTTTATTGATTTTTTACAGAGAGGAAGGGAGAGAAATAGAGAGTTAGAAACATCGATGAGAGAGAAACATCAATCAGCTGCCTCCTGCACATCTCCCACTGGGGATGTGCCCGCAACCCAGGTACATGCCCTTCACCGGAATCGAACCTGGGACCTTTCAGTCCGCAAGCCGACGCTCTATCCACTGAGCCAAACCGGTTTCGGCGCCCATCACATTCTTATACTCTTAAAATATCTTACAGTTTTGTCAGTTATACCTGAATTTTAAAAAATCACCTACTAAATCCTAATCCCTCAACAAACAGACAAGCGAAGGCCCAGAAAACTAACTGATTGAAGATCATCTACCAAGTTGTAAAACTGAGGTTTTAAGGAGTAATTAGAATATGGAGGGAAAAAGCAAGTTTTTTGTAGATAAGCAAGAAAGGTGCTAAGAGATCTGAATTTCCAAAACCAATCTCAGAATTCTCCTTGTTTAGTAACATTGATTTAAAGTAGTTCTAATAATTAAATAAATATGTCAAAGTGAACTCCCCCCCAAAAAAAAAAGAAATGTTAAATATTTAGTTTAAGATGCCTAACTGTAGTGCATTTGCCAGCTTTTGTTTTGATTTATTTTTTCTCTTGCCCTTTTTCAAATTTTCCATAAACTATGCTGATGGATGAGTCATAAAAATGTCATGGGGAGAAACTTGTGTATTAATGAGAAAGTCAAGCATGTCTATGATATTCCTTTTAATTTTAAAAGGAATTTGTAACTTTGGTGCAATAGTGACATGTGAGAAATGGCGTGAAGCTGAGAAAAACAGAGCTCACCTTTCCTGCTGTTTAAGGGCGGATGGAGGGTTTAACCATCCGGCTGCTGGGTTGCTTGGTATTCTTTGTGGCGAGTAACAACAGTTCTTTCATCAAGGACCGTATTGATGCCAGATATTTAGTTACAAATCTTCTTCTTGAAAGGTCAGTTGTCCTGCTGTGTGTCAGTTGTCCAGTGAGCCCTTTCACTGCGTGGCATTCCTCTGCCCTCACTCCTGGAAGCTGTTCTACAGATTGCACTTGTGGTTTCAGAAGGGAACAGGAATTGATTATCTGGTGAATCGCTCAGGAAAGGCGAAGGTTCTGCTGAAAATGCATGACTGTCTCTTCATTTATGAAAGACAAAAACTTAGAAAACATCATTTAAATAGGCAAAATTCACACTGCACAAAATGTATATGATAAAAAACAAGTCTTCTCAATATCAACTGTGACTGAGTTGTGTTGCTACCATGTACTCTTGACATGATGTGATGAAAGTGGCACTTCGCTTCTGTGGTTTTTCTTCCAAGAACTTATAACACCAGTCTAATCACGAAGGAAGCAAACAAATCCATGAGATGGTCATCCTATGGAAAACTAGACCCTTATTCCTCAAAATTGTGAAGGTCATCAAAAACAAGGAAAGTCTTGCCGGGCTGGCGTGGCTCAGTGGTTGAACGTTGACCTATGAACCCGGAGGTCATGGTTCGATTCCCAGTCAGGGCACATGCCCGGGTTTTGGGCTCGATCCCTGTGTGGGGCATGCAGGAGGCAGCCGATCAATGATTCTCTCTCATTATTGATGTTTCTATCTCTCTCTCCCTCTCCCTTCCCCTCTAAGATCAATAATAAAAATATATTAAAAAAAAAAAAAAGGAAAGTCAAACTGTCACAGACAAGGGGAGCCTAAGGAGAAATGACAACTAAATGTAATATAGTATACTGGATGGGATCATGGGACAGAAAAAGGGTATTAGGTAAAAACTAAAAAAATCTGAATAAATGGTAGACTTTAGTTAATAGTAACACATCAATACTGGTTCATTAATGGTGGCAAAAGTGTCATACTAATGTATCATGCTAATAATAAAGGAAATTGAGTATAAGGTGTATGAGAACTCCTCTGTACTATCTTCTCTTCTCAGTTTCTATGTAAATTTAAAACTGTTCTGAAAAAAATAAAATAGTCTTCTTCCTTCCCTGAACCTCTAGACCAGCGGTTCTCAACCTTGGGTCGTGACCCCTTTGGGGGTTGAATGACCTTTCATAGGGGTCGCCTAAGACCATCGGAAAACACATATATAATTACATATTGTTTTTGTGATTAATCACTATGCTTTAATTATGTTCAATTTGTAACAATGAAATTGGGGGTCACCACAACATGAACTGTATTAAAGGGTCGCGGCATTAGGAAGGTTGAGAACCACTGCTCTAGACCCTGGTCTTACCATTTTCTTGTGACTCCTTTGAGAGAGATTTTAGGCCAATATCAACATAATTTATATATCCTTCTTTCTGCTTAAAAAACAAAAACAAACCCAGGCAAATGGCAACATACTACATATAATATTCTTCACTTAAGAATATATTTGGAGCCTGGCTGGTGTAGTTCAGTGGTTGAGCCAACCTATGAACCAGGAGGTCACAGTTTGATTCCTGGTCAGGGCACATGCCTGGGTTGCGGGCTTGATTCCTGTAGGTAGCCAATCAATGATTAGATGTTTCTATCTCTGTCTGAAATCAATCCTACATAATAAAAGCCTAATATGCAAATTGACCGAACAGCAGAATGACTGGAGGAACAACTGGTCGTTCTGACGCTCACTGACCACCAGGGGGTCAGACGCTCAATGCAGGAGCTGCCCCCAGCCCAGAGGCCCAGGCTAGCCAAGGCGAGTGCCAGCGGGAGCCCCCCTCAATCGTCCCGTCGGTTGCCCACCTTGGCCGGCTTGGTGCCGAGCGCTCGCTGGCCCCACCCCCCGCTGCTGCAGGTCACCTCCCTGGGTAGAATGATATCATTTATGTTGGAAGAAAAACCCAGATATGTTATGGGAACATATTCCATTAATCAGAATGATAACAGTTGAAAATTTGGAGAGAATGCTAGATTTGAGAATAGTAGTGAAAGAGACTTTGGTCTTTTCAGTGATGTTTAGATTTGTATAACAAGAATGTATTCATGTTTTGCTTGAGCTGTTATAGTTATCAATGAAATATAGAGATGTTTGGATAATTTATATCTGTCTTTATGCTATAATCATAGAATAATCTCTATTTTCAACCACATGCTGACCATTTAAAAATTTTGATCATATATTAGGTTTTAGAAAAAAATCAGTGTATTTCACAAAGTAGAATTAGGTGAGGATCACATTCTTTGGTCACTATTATTATCCCAATCAAACATTTAATCACCTCAGGTTTTAAAACTATATGTAATTCTAGCTTTCTGTTTACAATGGTTGGATTCTAGTACAAGTGACTAAAATTTTTAAAAATTTACTATTGGCCTTAATACCCTTTAATGCAAAATAGAGCACTTCAGTGGCTATGTTGTATGAATATAGTGAACAATTTCTTAAATTATGTGACTCCAAAGAATACGTGTTATTTTAATATGTAATTTTTGTTTTTCTTAAAGAGATGTGAAAGCTGGAAATATTCTTCTTGGAGAAGATGGTTCAGTACAGATTGCAGGTAATGATTAGTATTTCTTTTATTTTGACTTAATGCTCAGTAGAACCACATTACCCATCTTTACATTTTCGGGATCATTTCTAGTCAGGCACCCTATATTGGCACATCCCTGCTGACTCTCAAGATATTCTTCACTTCTCAATATTCATTTTCAATCTTAGACATTTTTCTGACTATTACTCATCACCTTCTAGTTATCCACTCCTTATCCCCCATTAGGGTCTTTTTCTATGGTTTCTCATAGCATTCTGTACAGCTTTTTAAAGGAGAAGTAGTCAAGAAACCTCCTTATGTTTAAGAATAAATATGCTATAGAGAGGTGATCTAGAGCTGCTTCTGTACTGGGGGACATGGGGTATTCACCAATTAGGAAGAGTCATTTGAGAGGTGGAAGTGCGCTTTTGGGAGATTCAGAGCTGAAGAGTTGGAGTCCAGGGTCTGCCAAAGGTGGCTATCCTGGTGAAGTAACCCTTGCTTCAGGCCGAGACTCCAGAATGGTGGAACCACAGGCTTGTTGAGCAAGCAGATGATCTGAGAAAACCTCAGTGTAGTCCCATGTACACTGTTGCAACAGTCTGGTGTTTGGCAGGAGGAAGATAATCACTCAAAACTTAATTCTTTCTTCAGCATTAAAAGATAACTTAGGTACACATTTTCATGTCAGTGGATAGAGCGTCGGCCTGCAGACTGAAAGGTCCCAGGTTCGATTCCGGTCAAGGGCATGTACCTTGGTTGCGGGCACATCCCCAGTAGGGGGTGTGCAGGAGGCAGCTGATCGATGTTTCTCTCTCATCGATGTTTCTAACTCTCTATTCCTCTCCCTTCCTCTCTGTAAAAAATCAATAAAATATATTTAAAAAACAAAAACAAAAAACATAAGTATAAAAGGTGTTCAGCCTCACTAGTAATCAGTTAAAAACGAAGTAGAGTATCATTGGGATACCATGTCATACTGACTCAGTTGGCTTACAAATCTAATAATACCAGTTGTTAGTTTGGATGTAAAGCAAGGAAAAAAATCTCATACTCTGATCATGAGAGTGTAAATTAAGTTAAAGATATGCATACCCTAAAACTTTGGCTTTTAGATGGTATGGCCTAGAGAAACTCATGCTTACGTGTGCCGTGGTGCTCATAAGCATTGAGAAGTTTAAAACAGCCCCCAGCCCTTCATTAGTATACTGGATGAATAACTTGTGGTTAATTTATACATTAGAATACTATCTAGTTGAAATTGGGTAGAATTACAACTATATACAAAAACATTAATAAATTATAAAGACATAGGATGAAATAAACCAGTCAAATTAGATTACAGGGGCCCGCAAAAGTAGGTTTACAGTTTGTATATAGAATGTGATTCCATTATATAAGTTTAACATCAGGGATGATTGTCTATATTGCTTAGGGAAGCAAAACGAGGTGGAAGAAAAAAATAAAGGAGAAGACTGTGATAAAATAGTGAACAGAATTATTACCAGGAATCTGTCTTCCCACCTGGACAGCAATTGAACTGGCAGAATCTGATGCACAGTGGGGTTCTCGATAACATTTTGTCCGTCATTTCATTATAATACTAGAGGCCCGATGCATGAAATTCATGCAAGGGGCTCGGCCCTCGCATCCCCAGCTTCGTCCAGAAGGTCGTCCAGAAGGTTGTTTGGCTGTCTGGTCTAATTAGCATATTACGCTTTTATTATTATAGGTAGATAGATGAGATGCTGTAGGAACTTAACTCTTTCTATATCAATTAGCTTATGGTAAAATTGGCTTCGTTATACATTGTTTTACTTAAAGTCCCAGAACTTGCTGATGTTAAGTGAGGACTTACTGTAACTGTTTTGGAATTCTGTGGACCATTAAAGGCTTGAAAATTCTAGGGAAGGTCTTAGATTGCAAATTGTGCTTAATTTGGTCAATTTCAAAGCCAAATTTCTCACCCATCAGCCACTGTACGCAGCTGTGCATGTTTTGGAATGGTTTGCACATAACTTGCGGGAATCATAGTGGGCAAAAATGATCTGTTCTCCAAATATCATGCATCTGTGTTCTGATCAGTGATTGCTGCTTCAGATCTCAAAGGTGCAGGCAAAGAGGCAAACAGCCATTATGGTTGTTACACACCCTCTCCCTCCCCACAGTGATTTCCAGGCAACTTAACAGGCCAGCACCCGTTTTCCTTCCCTTCATTTTTCTCGTCTTTCCCTTTTGGAGCCAGACATTAAAGACTAGGACATTAAAAAACACCTACATTTACAGGGAAAATTGGAAAGTGACTGCACATGCAGAAAAGATCTGAGAAGACCTTTAAGTTTACATCTCAGGCTGATGCTTGACATAGACACAGTCTCCAACAAACAAAAACATTTACAAAAAAACCAGCAAACCTTGGAAATGGGGTAGAATCTGATCTCCACAGTGGCCATATTATCAGATTTAAATCTCCAGTTTTCAACAACAACAAACTTACAAGGCATTTAATGAAACTGCAAAGTATGATCTATTCAAAGGAAATACATAAGTCAACAAACTGTCAGTGAAAAAGACCTGAAGGCAGATCTGCTATACAAAGATTTTAAAAGAGCCGTCTTAAAGATGCTCAGAGAAGTAATGGATGCTGTACAGAAACCAAAGAAAACAATGTCTGAACAAAATGGAACTAGTAATAAAGAGAGAAAACCTAAAAGAAACCAAAAAGAAATTATGGAACAAAAAGTACAATAACTATACTGTGACATGAAAAATTCACTGGAAGATTCACTTGCAGATTTGAGTTGGCAGAAGAAAGAAATGGTGATCTTGGAGATAGGGAAATGAAAACTAGCAATATGATGAATAGAAAGGAAAAGGGTTGAAGAAAAGTGAACAGAGCTGAGGGAGTAGTTAGACACCAGTAAGTGGACCAACATACACTTTGTGGGAAGTCCAGAAAGAGAAGAGAGAAAGGGGCAGAGAGAGTATTTGATGAAATAATGTCTGAAAACTCCCCAAATTGGATGAATATAAACATCAAAGAAGCTCATTGACCACCAAGTATGAAAAACCCTAAGAGACACATTATAATCAAATTTATGAAAGCCAGGGACAAGAATCTTGAGAACAGCAAGAAAGAAATGACTTGTCACAAGGGTTACTGAATAATGTGGTCAGCAGATTTCTTATGAGAAACTACGGAGGCGAGAAAGCAGTGGACTGATATATTCAAGTGCTAAAAGAAAAGAATTCTCAACCAAGAATCCATTATCTGATAAAACTTCATCAAAAGTGAGGGATAAATAAGACATTCTCAGATAAATAAAAACTGAGGATTATGTTTCCACTTGGCCTGCCCTGCAAGAAATGCCCAAGGGAGACCTGCAAAGCGAAATGAGAAGATGCTAGACAGTAACTTCAAGCAGGATGAGGAAATAAAGACCTCAATAAAGGTAAATACACGGGCAAGTATGAGAGCTGTTACTATAAGTATTACTGCAACAATGGTTTGTAGCTCTACTTTTTGTGTTTTCTACATGATTTAAGAAACTAATACACTATTGAAAACAGTAATTGGTCTAAAAGTTAGTATTATAGTAACATTAGTTTATAACTCCGTCTTGTCTACATAATTTAAGAGACTAGTGCATTTAAAAGAATTGTTCATTTGTGGTTTTGAAGACACAATGTATTAAGATGTGCTTTTGTAACATCAGTAATCAAAAAGGGTGGGAACAGGGCTATAAAGGAGAAGCGTTTTTCTGTCTTGAAGGTAAGTTGGTATAAATTCAAATTAGAGTGTTATAATTTTAGAATGGCAAGTCTAACCCCTGTGGTAGCCACAAAGAAAATAACTGTAGAATATAGACAAAAACCAACTAAACACACAACACAAAAGTAACGTAGGAAATGAGGGACAAAACTATTAGATATAAGGAAAATAAACAATACAATGACAGAAGTTTCTTCATATCAGTAATTGCTTTAAATGTAAATGGTTAGCTCTCCAGTCAAAAGACAGAGATTGACAGAGTGGATAAAAAAACACATAAAAAAACAAACAAACAAACAAAAAACACATGGTCCAGTTATATACTGTTTATACAGGTTTTCCCACTACCTGATGTAGAGCACTTTTATGAAATCTTTCTTAAGCCAAAATGGCTTAAAGCAAAGAGAATCTCCTGCTTTCAGAATGTTAACTTTAGCCACTTGATTTCACAAAAAACCTACATTGGTATAGTAATGGCTTTTTTTTTGTAAACGTGAAAACCCTCTCCAGGTTTCTTTTAGTGAAAACAGGTACTCATGTAGTCTTTTGTGTTATGCAAACTAGAAAGTGGGGATACCTTTATTGTTAAAATGTCAGTACTACCCAAAGTGATCTACAGATTTAGTACAATCACTATAAAAATCCCAATGATTTCTTTTTTTTTTTTTGTAGAAATAGAAAATCCTATCCTAAAATTCATATGGGATCTCAAGTAACCTCAAATAGGCAAAACAATCTTGAAAAGAATGAACAAAGCTGGAAGAATGACATTCCCTGTTTTTAAGACTTATTGCAAAGCAACAGTAATAAAAGTAGTATGTTACGTATGCCCTGGCTAGTATGGCTCAGTGTTTGAGCCTTGACCTATGAATTAGGAGGTCACAGTTTGAATCCCGGTTAGGGCACATGCCCAGGTTGCTGGCTTAATCTCCAGTAGGGGGAGTATAGGAGGCAACCGATCAAAGATTCTCTCTCATTATTGATGTTTCTATCACTTTCTCCCTCTTCCTTCCTTTATGAAATCATTTAAGATATATATATTTTTAAAAAAATAGTATGTTATGGGCATAAAGATAGTCAGAGACAGATGAAATAGGAAAGAGAGCTCAGAAATAAACCCTCACATACAGAGTGTGGCAAAAAGAGGTTTATGGTTGTTTGTATGGAAAAATACAATAATCTATAATAATAAAAGGGTAATATGCTAATTAGACCAGACATCATTCTGGGCATCCTTCCAGACAAAACCAGGGCTGGAGCAACGCCCGGGTCCTGGGTGCCTGCTGGCGGCCGGAGGGAAGCCCCGGTCCCGGGTGCCAGAGGGAAGCCGGTGCTGGCAGCTGGGGGAAGTGAGGCCTACTCTTGCACAAATTTTGTGCATCGGGCCTCTAGTTAATAAATAATAGTGCAAGAATAAATTGTACTTCCCATACTCACAACTGTAAATCTACTTTTGCCCACCCTGTATATGGTTAAATTGTTTTGACAAAGGTACCAAGTCTATTCAAGGACAAATGGTGATGAGAAAACTGCATATTCTCATGAAAAAAAAATTAAGTTGGACCCTTATCTAACACCATATACAAAAATTAACTCAAAATGGATCGAAGATTGAAACATAAGACCTAAACAATGAAATTCTAAGAAGAAAACATAGAAAAATAGTTTTATGACATTGGATTTGGCAATGATTTCTTAGAAATGATGCCAAAGGCATGGCTTAACAGAAGAAAAAGTAGACAAATTGGCCTTTATGAAAATAAAAAATTTTGTGCATAGACACTACCAAAAGAGTAAAAGGCAACCCATTAAATGGGAGAAAATATTTGCAAGTCATATACCTGATAAGAGGCTAGTAATATCCAGAATTTACGGAGAGCTCCTAAAACTTAACATCAAAAAGAGCAAGGTTTTAAAAAATGGATTTGAATAGACATTTCTCCAAAGAAGATAAACAAGGGGCCAGTAAGTACTTGAAAAGCTGCTCAACATCAGTAATCATCAGGGAAATGCAAATCAAAACTACGAGGAAATTTCACCTCACATCCACCAGGATTGACTATCAAAAGAAAACCCCCAAACCCAGAAAATAACAAGGATATGGAGAAATTGGAATCCTTGTTCACTGTTGTTGGAAATGTAAAATGGTACAGCTGCTGTGGAAAACAGTATGGCAGTTCCTGAAACATTTAAAAATACTATATGATCCAGCAGTCCACTGAAAGCAGGGACTCAAACGGATATTTGTACACTCATTTTTATAGCAGCATTATTCATAGTGGCTAAATCGTGGAAGCAAACCAAGTGTCCCATCAATGAAATAATCAGTACACAAAATGGTATATACATACAATGGAATATTATTTAATTTATAAAGGAAGAATATTCTGATATCCTACAACATGGATGAATCTTGAGGACATTATGCTAAGTGAAATAAGCCAGTTATAAACAGAGAAATGCTGTATTATTCCACTCATATGAGGTACTTAGAGTAGTCAGAATCATAGAGACAGAAAGTAGAATGCTGATTGCCAGGGCTGTGTGGAGAGGGCAGTGAGGAATTATTGTTTAACTAGAGGCCCAATGCATGAAATTCATGCAAGAGTAGGCCTTTCTTCCCCTGGCTGCCAGCACCGGCTTCACTCTGGCACCTGGGACCCGGGCTTCCCTCTGGCCCTGACTTCATCTGGAAGGACGTCTGGTATAATGTCCGGTATGACATCCAGTCTAATTAGCATATTGCCCTTTTATTATTATAGATAGACTAGGGGCCCGATGCATGAAATTCATGCAAGGGGCTCTGCCCTCACAGCCGTGGCAGCTTGCCTCAGCCCTCGCAGCCCGGCTTCGTCTGGAATGAAGTCCAGGAGGTTGTTTGGCTGTCCGGTCTAATTAGCATATTATGCTTTTATTATTGTAGATGAGTATGCAGTTTCAGTTTGGGAAGATAAAGTGAAAAGAATGGAGCAAGGAGGAAAACCTAAGACTACGATGATGTGTCGGGGTGGAGAGGAATGGAATGAAGGACCTGTTAAGCTGTGTTTTAATTTGGTCCAGAAGTTCCGCAGAGGCTCAGCTTACTCTCTAGGTGGCCCAGGTCTGCTGGGACGTGTCCTTTTTGCTTCTTGTGTAGCCATGCCCATGCCCTGGCCTTTGTGTTTCTCTACTTGAGTAAAATTTGCTTTGTTCTCACACGCACAAAAAAGTTTAGCAAGAAGAGCAGAAGATGTCATGCTGTTTGCATATAGAACTATAACTACTTTATATTATTTTCCTGTTCACTTATGTTACTTACTGTACTTTTAATGCCTTGCTGTTATTTTCTCTGTTCCAGACTTTGGTGTTAGTGCTTTTTTAGCAACTGGTGGTGATATTACCCGAAATAAAGTGAGAAAGACCTTTGTTGGAACATGGAACAGGTACTGTGTGTGTTACTTTTTATTTATTTATTTTTTAAATATATTTATTTATTTTTTAAATATATTTTATTGACTTTTTACAGAGAAGAAGGGAGAGGGATAGAGAGTTAGAAACATCAATGAGAGAGAAACATCAATCAGCTCCCACAACCAAGGTACATGCCCTTGACTGGAATCGAACCTGGGACCCTTCAGTCTGCAGGCCAACGCTCCATCCACTGAACCGAACCGACCAGGGCGGTTCTGTGTGTTTTAAAATGGTTTAGGGTTTTGTTATGAAATTGAAAAACACTGAGTAATGTTTGCTTCTGTTGGTATACTAGGTTAGGTTTGGGAAATACATATATTTGATCTTTGGTTAAGACTTTTGTCCTCCTTTAAAAGAGAACTAAAAAAAAACAAACAAAAAAACTAGAACTTTACAAAGGACATATGCAACTAGGATTTATACTAAAGACAACCTAAGGAATAATATAATGAAGACTGGTTTAGTAATATTTTTCTTAGTACAAATTAAATGACCTAATCTTTTTTAAAAAATATATTGATCTCAGAGAGGGAAAGAGAGATAGAAACATCAGTGATGAGAATCATCGATTGGCTGCCTCCTGCATGCCCCCTACTGAAAATAGAGGTTGCAACCTGGGTATGTGCCCTAACCAGGAATTGAACCCTGACCTCCTGGTTCATAGATCAACACTCAACCACTGAGCCACACCGGCCAGGCAGTATGACCAATTTTGTATTTTTATCACAGGTGTTTTTCATATGGAATTCATTAACCTTGCTTTTGTTTACCTATATAATATTTCTTTAAGTGAATGTACCATATTTAACGATTTCCCATTGTTGGTGAACATTCATTCAGTTTGATTCCTTTTTTTTTTTCTGTTCCCAAGTATATTTAGCTTTTGCCTACTTTAGGTTATATGATTGGTTTAAAACCTGTGAACACTTCCATGGTTCTTGACACATATTGGAAGCTACTTTTTAAAAGTGCTTTTAGGGTGGTAAAGGTAATCCTGTTCATCTCTCTGTTTCCTACAGGTCCGAGGGTATGATTTCAAAGCTGATATCTGGAGTTTCGGGATCACAGCGATTGAATTGGCCACGGGGGCTGCTCCTTATCATAAGTATCCGCCAATGAAGGTGAGGCTTATACCCCAACTACTACCCCAGCTCCTGTCCCAGTTCCATTTCAGAGCCTTTCTTCATTTGACAGTTTTACTCATGGAATTCTGCCCTGCATTCCTTCTAACTCCTGGAGCAGTTAAAATCTGTAGTAGATATTTGGTATTTAGTATTGAATGACTGTGCATTGTAGCGGTCCTCTTTATATGATGACTGTCCATCTCCTGACACTAACTGGTTTGATATTAGGGTCTGATGCCTCTCATTTTAGTGTGTGTTCCTTACAGTCACCTTTAATGAGGATGAACAGCCTTACTGGGGATGGTGATCGTTTCTACTTCATAAGGTTGTTGGAAGGGTTATGAATTAATAGTGGTTATAGCTGACATTCATTGAGCACTTATTTTTCCAGGCACTGCTTTAAGTGCTTTTTATATCTTAAATAAGATAACCCATGCAAAGTGTTCATGTGCCATACATATGTATTATTTTTAATACTGGATAAAAGTTTGCTTAGGACACTAAGCAGCTTTTATTAAAAGCCTATTATTATTTCCTAATGTAGTAGTTACCTGAAGTGTAGTCATTAATCCTGTCCCTAACATTAGTAACAGAATGAGTATTTTGTGTTTAAGATGGTGCTGCCAGTACTATTGGTAACCATTTTTATCTATGTGACCCTTTAGTTGTAATATGCACATGAATTCTGTTTTGTTTGCAGTTATTGTTTATAGTTGTTTTATTTGTAGTTATTGTTTATAGTTCTTCTTGCCACTTTATAAGATATTCTATGACTGTTTGAAATGGCAGACCACTATTGTGAATTGTTATATTGATATTATTCACACCTGTATGATTTTGGTGTACTGTAGAACCTCTAAAACAGTGGTTCTCAACCTCCTGGCCCTTTAAATACAGTTCCTCATGTTGTGACCCAACCATAAAATTATTTCCGTTGCTACTTCATAATTGTAATGTTGCTACTGTTATGAATTGTAATGTAAATATCTGCTATGCAGGGTGGTCTTAGGCGACCCCTGTGAAAGGGTCATTCGACCACCCAAAGGGGTCACGACCCACAGGTTGAGAACCGCTGCTCTAAAAAGATGTTATTCTGTTCCCTTTAAGGATCTAACAATGTGGAGAGGTACAAAACCAGTAAAAGATTATTATGAAAAAACCTCTCTCCATATTCAAAACATATCCTATATAACAAAAGGGTAATATGCAAATTGACCAAAATGTTGGAATGACCGGTCGCTATCATGTGCACTGACCACCAGGGGGCAGATGCTCAATACAGGAGCTGCCCCCTGGTGGTTGGTGTGATCCCACAGGGGGAGCACTGCTCAGCCAGAAGCTGGCTCACAGCTGGCGAGTGCAGAGAGAGGCTCCTGCCTCCATGGGGGCTCCTGGACTGTGAGAGGGTGCAGACCAGGCTGAGGGCCTCCCCCCCTGAGTGCACGAATTTCGTGCGCTGGGCCTCTAGTACATATATATTGACCTACATGTTTGATGGGTGCAATTTTGATTCTGTGAAAGGTAAGTGATGTTTAAGGTCATAGTTTGCCTAAAGGTTGAAGATTTCTAGGAGAAAGTGGATAATCACAAAACTTTAAGAATTTTTTTTTTTTTATTATATAACTGTAAGGTGGGAGGCTGATTTTAAGCAAAAAATAATAGCTTATTTTTATTTATTTTTAAACTAGAGGCCCAGTGCACAAATTCATGCACGGGTAGGGTCCCTAGGCCTGGCCAGCTATCGGAGTGGATCGAGGCCTTCATTTCGTGCTGCCCCCTGGTGGTCAGCGCACTTCATAGCAAGCGATCGAACTCCTGGTCTCCTAGTGAACTCCCAAGGGGACACTTTGCATATTAGCCTTTTATTTTTCAGTGTTGACTTTATGTGTAGAAAAATGGCTTATGCTTTTATAACAATAGTCAAACAGTATAGTAAAAGAATCACCCAAAGTCCCATCACATAAAAATGACTTTCATTACTTGCATCTCTGTGCCTTAAGCTAGTATGTTGCCATGAAAGTCCAGGAAGGAACAGATGGACAGGACAGTCAAGATGGTCAGTTGCTGCGGGGAAGGTAGGAAGAACGAGAACTAAAAAAGCCTCCAGCTTTGTTCTCTAGGACATCATTAGTGATTTTAATGATAGAACTATCTGAGGAGTTCTGGGAAGAGAAGGCCAGATAACAAGGCATCAAGTTGAAAGAGAGCCATGAATAGGTAAAGTCAGCAAGTTCACGCTCCGAATTTTGCTATGGTTTTAATTTTTTTAAAGGTAGTTTGGCAGTATAGGAGTGGGGACAGAAGACATGAAGAAAGGAGTCTAATTAAAGGATATACAGTGTGGATACAGTTGAGCCCTAGTAGGCACAGCATCTGGGAACTTCCTGTAGGATATTGTTTATGTGGATAACTCTGGATTCTGAATAACTGGTCTAAATGTGAACTTTTGGAAAATAATATCTGCTCGTATGTTGGGGGTTGTCCATATTAAAATGTCTTGGCCACAGTATTTAATTTTACTTTACTGAGTCTTTAGAAGTTTTTATTATATTGAAAATTCTTACAGGTTTTGATGTTGACACTGCAAAATGATCCTCCTTGTTTGGAAACTGGTGTTCAAGATAAAGAAATGCTGAAAAAATATGGAAAATCATTTAGAAAAATGATTTCATTGTGCCTTCAAAAGGATCCAGAAAAAAGGTAAAGATCAGATAAGGCTTACTTTTCTCTTCATCTGATATGTTACTAGGAATCACATACATACATGCGCAGAGAATTATTTGTGCATGTGAAAGAGAGATGAACATATAGAGCAGCGGTTCTCAACCTGTGGGTTGCGACCCCTTTGGGGGTCGAACAACCCTTTCACAGGGGTCGCCTAAGACCATCGGAAAACACATATATAATTACATATTGTTTTTGTGATTAATCACTATGCTTTAATTATGTTCAATTTGTAACAATGAAATTGGGGGTCACCACAACATGAGGAACTGTATTAAAGGGTCTCGGCATTAGGAAGATTGAGAACCACTGATATAGAGGATAAAATGAGAAGGTTCAGAGTATGTGTATGTAACAGACACACACATACACATATATATGTATACAAATCTACATATATGTACCTATGGACTTTACAGGAAGGATTAGAAAGAATGTGGAAGATAAAATATTCAAGGAAATAATAGCTGAGAATTTCCTAGAATTGATAGACCTATATCCTCAGGTTAAAGACCATCTCTCAAAATTCCAAGCAGCATTCCCCTTTTCCACTTGGACACATGGTCATGAAACTACAGGACAATGAGGCAAATAGAAACTCGTAAATGCACCCTGAGGGAACAGATTACCTCCTGAGGAATGGCAAGTAGACCATTAGCCACTTCCCCAATAATAACAGTTGATGCCAGAATATACTGGCATAATGTTGAGAGAAAATAACTTAGCCCAGAATTCTCCAACTAGTCAAATTAACATTCAAGAATTAAGCATAGAATTAAGATATTTTTCAGACAAAGATTAAGTTTTTCAGTCATGTTTTAGCACTTAAAGAACTCTTATAAATTGTATTTAGAAAGAAGGAAACGATCCTAGAAGAAAGGAATAAATTATAAGAAGCAATGTTGTGCAAACAAACTATCGAACCTATTGAAAACTTGACTGAATGAAAAAATAGGAATGGTAATGACTGTTGTCAGTGTGCATTTATTCTGTCTGTTACTCTTTGTAGAAATCCTGGTTCTCAAGCTTGAGTGCACATGGGAATCACCTGGAGAATTTGATCAGCTAATGATCCCTGGTTCCACTCTAATTGGTGTGGGTGCAGCCTAGGCATCAGGATTTTTTTCAGCTCCCAGATATAATGCACGGCAACATTTAAGAACCACTGTTTTTAGGGAATTGACCAGGTGATCCTGAACCTTAGAGAAGTGATTTGCTCAGAATTACATGGTAGGTGTGGTGAATCAGGACCAGGCTCTGAAGTATAGAATTGCTTGTTCTTTATTCTCAGTCATACTCAGTTAAAAATTTGTAAAGTTGGTATGATCCCTTTACTCAAATAAAGGAAATAAGACTCTGCACAGTTGAGTAAAATTGAATTTAGATTAAATTTGGGGAATATCTATTAAGTGTAGAGTATTTTTTAAGTGAAATCTATTTTTAATATGTTAATAAGTTGAAGGCTAGCAAGCAGCCACATAGCAAGAAGCAGAGGACTTTGTGAATTTAGATGTTTTTTTTTTTTAAATATTAGTTTGATTGTTGACACTATTATAGATGTCCCCATTTCTTCCTACTTTGCCTAGCTCCATCCAGCACCACCCTGCCCCCCAACCCCCTGGCCGTCACCACACTGCTGTCGGTGTCTAGATGTATTTTTATGCCTTGTTAAAGTAAACATTTTCTAGCCTGCTTCTTGGGAAATAATATTAAATAGCAAATGTATTGGAAGCCACTGAGAAATCATGCTTCCAAAAAGAAATTTCACCGAATGACTTTGTCAAAGAACCTACAATAATTATTATCAGGACATTTCTACATGAGTTTTTATTCTACTTAATGTCTTATACCAAGTTTATCATAGTTTTCTCAGCTTTGAAGATAGAAACCCATATTACATTTGAATTAATTATAAAAGCTTTCTTTTCTGGTTTTAGACCAACAGCAGCAGAATTGCTGAGGAACAAATTTTTCCAAAAAGCAAAGGTAGGAATTTCTAACTTTTGATTTTTGTGTTCATTTTCTCTTCCTCAGTTACCCAAAGTAGGTTCACTGCTCAGAAGCTGTACTATGTTAATATGGTTGTGTTTGGAAGAATGGTAGTAGTAGATCAAATAATTGCAGAGACTGCCATTTATATGGTCTTTGGTAATTAAGATACATGATTTAGAATAAGTAAATTTATTTTTCATGTAAATTAATTTAAATGTCAATAGATTAAACTTATAACAGGAACGATGAATGTTAAATTTTGCCATTATAAATATGATCTATGAAAAATACTGAACTCTCATTTCAGGGTTTACTACTAAATTACTAAACATCTCATTTCCTAAAGATTTCTGATAAGTGGGAATTTACTATATTTGGAAGTATCGGACCATGATCCCAAAGGACATATGGTATAAAGCAAACTTTTCATAGATAATGGTTCCTAACAATACACTGAAGCTCTGTCGCACCTTATAAACCCATGTTAGCAGTATCCGAAGGGAGCTTCAGAATGAAAAGATGGAAGCGTTTCTTGAACTTCTTTATAAAACAGTTAATTTGTCACATTTTAATTTGTGTCAATAAAGACTTCTTTGTCAATAAAAACTTGTTATAAGAAAAAATACTTATTTTTCCTCTCCAGAATAAAGAATTTCTTCAAGAAAAATTATTGCAGAGAGCACCAACCATTTCTGAAAGAGCTAAAAAGGTGGGTATTTAACTCAGTTTTCCTGGGAAATTGCTTTGAGTCGATTTACTTTTGCATTTTGAAGGTAATACTTTGTTGCCCTAGCTGGTGTGGCTCAGTTGATTGAGCGTGGTCCCATGAACCAAAAGGTCACTGGTTTGATTCCCAGTCAGGGCACTTGCCCAGGTTGCAGGTTCAGTTCCTGGTTAGGGTACGTATAGGAGGCAACCAATTGGTTTCTCTCCGTCTCTCTCTAAAAAAAAAAAAACCAATAAAAAAGTAATACTTTGTTAACAGTCTGAGTATTACTCATTTTCTTTCAGCCCTTTCTTTAGCATTCTTTGATACATTCATTCAGTAAATATCATTTATCTACTGAATGCCTACACATTACTCTGCTATCTGCTGTTGATGAATGAATTCTAAACTGTGTTAAATCACTATTTGCAAACTAGAGTGAGTTGTGAGGTTGGGCTCTTTTCCTCACACCATACAAAAGTATTGAAGATACCACTTCATATCCACTAGAAGGACTAATAAAAAAGATAGACAATAACAAATATTGATAAAGATGTGGAGAAATTGGAACCCTCACACTTTAATGGAAGTGTAAAATGGTGCAGCTCCTTTAGAAAGTAGTTTGGCAGTTCTCCAAAAGGCTAAACAAAGCTGCCATATGACTCAACAGTTCCACTTCTTGGCATGTCTAAGAGAACTGAAAACATGTACACATAAAAATATGTTCACAAATGTTCATAGCAGCATTATTCATAATAACTAAAAAGTGTAAACAACCTGAATGTCCATCTACTGATGAATGGCTATGTAACATGTCATATATCTGTTTAATGCCATAAGGAAGAATGATGTATTGATACATGCCATAACAAGCATGAGCCTTTAAAAAATTATGCTAATTGAAAGAAATCAGTTACAGAAGGCCACATATTGTGAGATTCCACTTATGTGAAATGCTCAGACTAGGCAAATTTATAGAGACAAAGTAAATTAGTGGTTGCCTAGGACTGGAGGGATTTTAGAGAAATAGGCAGTGACTGATAATGAGTATGGGTTTTGGAGGGTGGGGTGGGGAGGAAGTGATGAAAATAATCTAAATTTCATTGTGGAGATGGGTTCACAACTTTGAATAAAATGATTAAATTATATGCCTTAAATGGGTTAACTGTATGGTATATGAATTATCTATAATAATAAAAGTGTAATATGCTAATTAGACCGGGCGTCCTTCCAGACGACCTTCCAGATGAAGCTGGGGCTGTGAGGGAAGCCTGGGTGCTGGTGGCTGGAGGGAAGCCAGGTCCTAGGTGCCAGAGGGAAGTTGGTGCCGGCAGCCGGGGGAAGGAAGGCCTACTCTTGCACGAATTCGTGCATTGGGCCTCTAGTATCTCAATAAAGCTGTTACTGAAATAAAGCATTTAGAGGATTGCAGCACCACCAACATAAAGCTCTTAGAAATTGAAAACATTACAGAAGAAATGAAAAAATTCAGTATAAAAGCTGTAGTCAAGTTTAGGATGTTTCCTAGAAAACAGAGCTAAAAGGCCAAGAAATAGATAACAAGAGAGAAAAGACAAGGACAGTAAAAGGATCATTTAAAAAGATTCAACAGATGAGTAAAATGAATTCCAGAAAAAGAGAACTAAAAAGAAAAAAAAAACAGAAGAAAGGAAATTATTGAATAAATAATTCTGGAAAAATTCTAAAACTAGTGGTCATGAATTTCCAGATTGAAAGAGCCCAAGTACCCGGCACAATGAATGAAAATAGGCCAACACTGAGGCCCACCGCCATGAGCACTCAGAATACTGGAAGCAAAACGCTTGTCGGAGAAGGAGGAATGATCACCGACAGGAGCAGGAGTCAGAATCAGGGTCAGGAGTCAGAACGACCTCAGGAGCGCTTCTGGCAACCCGATCACAGTGGAGCAGTTGCTCAACATGATCAAAGGAAATAATTTCTGATCCAGACTTTTTAACAGGCAGACTGTCAGTGAGGTGCAGAGATGGAATAAAGATATGTTTTAGAAATGCATGGCTTTAGTAAGTGAGCCAGGCTAGTGGTGGGGAAAGTGCCTAAACTAAGAAGAGGGAAGTCACATGATCCAGAAAGCATGGTCCTCTGGTTGATGGTAGAGGGAGATCAGAAGTACTAGACCTGGTGTGAAACCTTCCTGGGGGAGCAGATGAGGAGGCTCTGGTGGGAGTCTTCCTCAAGAAGATGACGCTGATGCAGAATACCTACTGTGCATGAATGTGCTGGGAGGAGACTTACATAGCTGGGAGAGAATCGGGGGATAAATTTGACAAGTACATAGAGATAAGCAAATATTGACTCCAGGGAAAACAAAAATGTTATGCAGGAAAGAAAAGTAATTATAATGTACAGTAAGCCTCAGCCATATCAGTTATGTAATCAGGTTATGAAAACACTGAATATTGATTTAACCAAAATAATATATCTTGAGAAAAGAGTAGAGGGGTGGTGATAGGGTTAAATTCTCAACTCCCAAAGTAGGAAGTCCAATAGATTAATTCCTAAAATAAGAAAACGGGTAATAATGAAACCATGTTACATAGAGAGATGAAAATACAATCCAAAAGAATAAGCTAACATGAGTTGAAAATGGTTGCTTATGGTAAATAGGATGAAAGATAGGAGATTGTTATTTTTCTTAACAAAATTTACACAGCTATAGTGCTCTTAAAACTGTACAGGTATAATTGTGATTTTTAAATAAAATTATGACTTCACCTAAGGACTTGGATAATGTTCTAGTTCAGAGCATAGAAGTATAGGGAAAGTAGTGGTTGTGAGTAAAGAAAGAGTGGAGATTATGAGCAGAGCTGAGCTGGCAAGGGCTGGAGGATACTTACAGGAGAATGATTATCTGCTGGGTTGAAGTAGTATAAGGAGAGGAGAATATGATTGACTTTTCTATATAATAAATGTCAACATTAACATAACTTATGTCTCTCTTCCAATGAGCAGGTTCGGAGAGTACCAGGTTCCAGTGGCCGTCTCCATAAGACAGAAGATGGAGGCTGGGAGTGGAGTGATGATGAGTTTGATGAAGAAAGTGAGGAAGGGAAAGCAGCAATTTCACAACTCAGGGTAAGTTTTGGGAGAATGATTATCTGCTGGGTTGAAGTAGTATAAGGAGAGGAGAATATGATTGACTTTTCTATATAATAAATGTCAACATTAACATAACTTATGTCTCTCTTCCAATGAGCAGGTTCGGAGAGTACCAGGTTCCAGTGGCCGTCTCCATAAGACAGAAGATGGAGGCTGGGAGTGGAGTGATGATGAGTTTGATGAAGAAAGTGAGGAAGGGAAAGCAGCAATTTCACAACTCAGGGTAAGTTTTGTGAAACTATATGCTTCAGCTAGAGCTCTGTCTTTCTGTCTGAAGCCTTTGAGATAATACTGCATTCTATAATTCTGGTCACCCTACCCACCTAAAATATAAAAAATCCAAGTGTTAGTGACAGAATTTTCTTGAACAACTTATCAACATCAGGAGCCCAATTGATTTTACACGAAGTGAACTGGCAGGTCTGTTTGAATATGATAATATTTAGGGCACATACAAATGACCCAAGTCTAGAGATGAAAACTACAATGTCCAAGATGAACATACACTGGGTGGGATTAATGGCTAATTATGCATTGCAAAGAAAAGATTAGTGAACTTGAAAGATTAATAGTAATAGAAACTTTGACCCTGAGGTCTGCTAACCTATCTGAAGAGTAATAGTGCATCTCATCTCTTCTTATATCTATTTGATATAACCTTGTTGATGATGATGATGTGTGTATGCTAGTTTTTGCTAGAAGCAGTGAAAATAGTCTTGTTTTCATTTGTTTTATCACTGTTGCCTAAATTTAATGCCTGAAGTGATTTTAGGGCTCACCCCCAAGAATAGGAAACAAACACAAAATTAAATTTATAGACTATTGTGATATCTGGATGGAAAATAGATTGGATGGGAATAGCAGCAGATTAGACACTGTACAAGAAAAGATTAATGAACTTGAAGGCTAGCAATAGAAACTGCTAAATGAAACTGAGGAAAGAATTTATAAAAAATGAAGAGAATCAGTGAGCTAATACAAACATTAAGCAGCATAATATACATGTTATTGGAGTCTCCAATGTGTGTAGGAAATATTAATGTTTGAGGTCATTATAGCCTTGACTGGTCAGAACCTTTTGTGGGATGAGTAGTGGCTAGTGGTATATCTTTGCCTGCTTTTAAGAACGAAGGTTTCTTGGGGAAACTGCTGATTACAGGGCTTTCACAGATAATATACAAGATGAATCTGGAATAGCTTCTTTTGTCAGAAAGTAAATATTTTTTATTAAAACAAAAAAATCATAATAATAGATGAGCCTGGTTCACGGATCTCCCAGTGGCCAAATCAGCGAGAATTTAACCATTAAAACCATTAAGTGCAGTAGTAAATTATAAATAATTTATTAAGTCCACAACAATAAATGGGGAAAGGAATGGTTTTTTTCATTGTAGTGAACTGCCAGTGCTGACTGGTAAATGTTGAGGAGTGTTGTATAGGGAGAATTATCATTTTACAGCCACCATAAAGCAGTCATAAAGATTAGCTCAGGCAAGGATCATCAACAGATGCTAAGTATAGGAGAATATTTTGATGAGCAAGATATTTACATGGTTTTAAAGTGTCTCTTCAGAGAGTGCCTTTTAGTTGCAAAATACAAAATAGTTCCTACATACTGGGGAAATAAAAAACTGCCCTGAGTAGATGATTAACATCACTAATGAGGGGCAGACGAGCACGTGCTTGCCTAAGATATGGAACCCTAGGAAGGACACAACACTGTAGAGTTCCAGCTGTGGGTTCATATAATTAGTCTAGATCAAGAGGAACCATCAGACAAACACAGATCAGGAGCATTCTATTCAAATAAAGTGTGTGGGGGGTATTCTTCAAAAATATTTATGTGCCAGATAGAAGCAACCTAAAGAGACATGACTGCTAACTGCAATACACGACCCTAGAGCAATACACAACCCTAGAGTTTATCCTGTACTGGAAGAAAAACAGGCTATAAAACGAGGTCTGTTGAAAAAAGTTGGATTATGGACGATAAATAAAAGTACTATTGTTAAAGTTACTGAAGTTGGTAACTTCAGTAGTGTTATGTAAGAGAACTATTCAGTGGTAAACAGCTATTTATTAATAACTATTATTATCTATTAATTTATAAATATATATAATATAAATTTATAAATATATATAATATATATTATGTGGATTATATGTGTATATTTAAAAAGAGAAAGTGAGCATTGAAACAATAAAGCAGATGAGGAATAAATACTATTAATAGGTGAATCTGGGTAAAGGGTACACTGGTGTTCTTTGAATTGTTCTTTATGTAAGTTTGACATTTTTTCCAAATAATAAAGTTTGTTGTTTTTTTTTTAACAAGGTTTGAGGTTGGCCATATACTTGCTGTGATACATTAGCTATTAACTAAACCTTGATTCTCCTTAATAAAATGGTGATGAGAATTTTAAAACAAACCCAAACTGACGTTTCAAGTAGTCTAAATCCATATTTGGTAGAATTTACCATAAATTGGTATTTGTTTAGAGATAAAGTTGTTTTTCTTTTGTTCCCCAGTAGTATCCAGAATTACTACTAACTTTCAATTTATGAAATAACTTTAGCTTAGATTTTCATATGGTAGATTATAATTGGTTTTTCAATTTTGGCTCTAGAGGTTTCTTCATTAAAGCCCATAAGCATAATTACCCTGTGTTGAGAATTATTAAATATTAGCTTGAAGGTTGTCATTTGGTCTGGTATATTACACACATAATATGTTCATAATTAGTAGAAAGTTGTGCTTTGAAAAATGTGACCTTCCTGCTGTCTGAGAACTCAGTCTCGTTATGTTTGTTTATAACTTCAAGTTGTGAGCTCTTCAGATACCATCAGTACAGGCCACCTGGACAAAGATTGCAATAGTCACGACAGTTTTCTTTTTCCTGAAAACTTTCATGAGAGTTGCTGGTGAGTTAATGTGTGGATCAGAAGAAATGGAGTTCACTTGCCATTCAGCTTTCTGTGCAGTTTGGAACTGACCAAGTAACCCGAGTTTTGAGTTAACAAGGCTTCTTTTTTTGTATTTCTTTTAGTCTCCCCGAGTGAAAGAATTATCAAATTCTGAGGTAAGTAGTTGTGATTATTGAATTGTTAAAGAATATGGGCTTTTGTTTGGGTTTGGTTTTAATGTTAAGCACATCCTATATAATAAAGAGCTAACATGCTAATTAGACCAAACAGCAGAACAACCATCCCGAAGACCGTCCAGACAACCTTCTGGATGAAGCCAGGGCTGCGAGGGCCTAGGCAGCCGGCACTGAGTGTTCATATATTAACATGTATCAGAATTTACTTCCTTCCTTTTTAAGGCTGAATAATATTCCATTGTATGTATATACCACATTCGTTTATCGTGTCCGGTCATCCGGTCGGCCATTCAACCAATCAAAGTGTAATATGCTAATGATATGATAAGGCCGCTCAACTGCTCGCTATGACGTGCACTGACCACCAGGGGGCAGACAGTCAACTGGGTCGCTATGATGTGCCACCAGGGGGCAGACGCTCCAACCGGTAGGTTAGCCTGCTGCTGGGGTCTGGCCGATCGGGATTGAGCGAGATGGGCCGGACACGCCCTGGAGCCCTCCCCAGCTGGCCAACCTCCCGTGTCCCTCCCTGGCCCCAGTCGGGCACTGGTGGGGTCCCTCGGCCTGGCCTGCGCCCTCTCGCAATCTGGGCTGAGGAACTCCCCCCCCCCCCCCCACCCGCCCAGTGCATGGATTTCGTGCACCGGACTACTAGTTGTTAATAAAATTCCTATGAAAATGGCTGCACAAATACCTGTTGAAGTCCCTGCTTTCAATTCTTTCAGGTCTGTACCCAGAAGGGAATTGCTGAATCCTACGATAATTCTGTTATTAAGTTTTTGAGGAACCACCATACTGTTTTGCAATGCACAAGCTTCCAGTTTCTCCACATCCTCTCATTACTCTGTTTCTGTGTTTATTTTTGGCAAACATATGTGCATGCTTCATTTTGAAAAGTGTTAATAATTACATTAACATTTTGAAAACTAATCTTAAAGTTCTGTTTTTCTATCAAAATCCAGAACCAATGAGTAACTTTTGATTTCCTCTATATGAAACTAAATGAACACAAAATTTTACTTCCTGATCTCCTTGATTTTGCTTATATATTATGAGCTGTTAGACCTTTCTTCTTGTCCTTCTAATTTTTTTTCTCTTTTAACTCTAAATTTGATTTCTTTTCACTAACTTTTCTTCTCCAAGTTACATAATTAAAATGTAGGAATATTTCAAACATGCAAAATAACATATATAATGTCTATGTTAGTCATAAAGTTTCATATCCATTTTGAAAAGCATTTCAGCTATGCTAAGGAATTACTTGTTGATTGTCTTTCTTTATAAGTAATGGAAAGTCCCTAGACATAGAAAAAGGTAGCTTGTATAATTTTGTATTGCATACTTAAATTTGTATTTTGAACGTGCTATTTTGCTGGGCAAAGGGTGCAGAATAGATGTGGTTAAAAGTAAGTATGATACAATGAACTGCTATATTGAAGAAGAAGAAAAAAGTGAACTACTAATATATGCTGCAGCATCACTGAACAAACTATGTTATGAAAGAAGCCAGACACAAAAGAATGCATTGTTTTTTGAGGTCCAGCCAACCTTGCTCAATGGCGATGAATGAAATATTATTCAAGAATATTCATTCTGTTACAGCTGTTTCCAACAACGGATCCCGTGGGTACTTTACTTCAAGTTCCAGAAGAGATTTCTGCTCATCTACCTCAGCCAGCTGGGCAGACGCCTGCACAGCCAACTCAAGTCTCTCTCCCACCCCCCGCAGAGCCAGCAAAAACAGCTCAGGTAAAGCAGGGGCATGCGTTAGTGGTTAGCCTCTGGGAAGATGTAAAAAGCAGAGAGGAATGTGCTAATATAATAAGGTCACCTAATATAATAAGGTAACCTTATTATAGGTGGAAGATTTTGAAACAAGTTTGAATTCTTTTTCCCCAGTTTTAAATGTATGCAGATAAGAGAGTTTTATAAGGATCACACAGATTTTTAAGCAAAAAAAAAAAAAATGTTAACAATGGAAACATTTCAAACATCAAAATTTGGGGGTTAATGTTCTTATCAGCTTTTTATTAGATCCTTATTATGTTTAACTTCAGAATGCAGCTGACAGCTATCTTGACACTAGGAAAATTGTCGACTGTTCTCTTTTTGTTCACTTATGTTTGTGCTATTTATTAATACTGTACAATCCATGATTTTCCAGTATTCCTCTTTTTAAGATATTTGTCAGTTTTATGAGGGTTGACTTTATTAAAATGAGGGAATGTAATCTGTAAATCCACATACTCCGGAGCACACAGACTTATGAAAGCAGCTGGGGAGAGTTGCTGCCTTGGAGTGCATGTCCTCCGTCAGCAGGGAACGTCCTAGGGACCAGGCTGGCCTCACCTGGCGATGGAGAAACTTGCTGCCAAGTGGACGGTTCCTCTGCAGATGAGCAGTAGTCACCTCCATGCTTAGTGGTCCTGGCAGTGACTCTCTATCTTTGCTTTTTAGGCTCTGTCTCCAGGAGCAGGTTCACAAGAAACCAAGATCCCCATCAGCCTAGTACTAAGATTAAGGTCAGTCGACGTTTTTGTTTTGCTTTGTCTTCTGAATACTCTGAACACGCTCTTTTCTCTTCGAAAGTTACTCCTTGTTCCAATAGTCTGTGCCCAAGAGTAACCGGATAGGCTTGCGTGTCCTCCCGGCATCGGGTGCATTTGCTTGCAGGTGTATTATTTCACTCTGAAATAATAGGAGCAGCGTGAGGCCTTGGATGTTGACAGTCAACTGGTACATACTCTTCATTGTTTCTCCACTAATTGTGCATTTGCAATGTAGGTCGTTTAGATTAGGAATCTGGTCTTTAACCGAGGAACAGTTTTTAGGGGAGTAGCACTAAGTGGGCTTCTCTGAAAATTAGTCTTGTAATTGTGACCATATAAACAGCATGGACTCTGAGATCAACTAACCCAAGAGTGGAGTGCTTTCTGATTGGGAGAGAGCAAATAAAGGCCTTCTCCTTAAGAGTGGAGGGAAAACGTCTACGTGTGTAGTTTTGTCTGTTTCTCTATTTTACAGCAAGTGCTCTAATTGATGCTTCTTGGTGGGGCTGCGACAGATTGCTCGCAGGAAGTGCCATGGTGGCGATCTGTTCATTTTAACCCTCTCTCCCTTTGCAGGTAGTTGGATTAGGATTCCAGAGCATTCTTATCAGAATAGCTGTGAATGTTGTATTGCTATAAAGTCTCATTCTACTCATAAATGCACTTTAAAAATTTATGTATGCCCTAACCGGTTTGGGTCAGTGGATAGAGTGTCGGCCTATGGACTAAAGGGTCCCAGGTTCGATTCCAGTCAAGGGCATGTACCTTGGTTGCGGGCACATGCCCAATAGGGAGTGTGCAGGAGGCAGCTGATCCATGTTTCTCTCTCACCGATGTTTCTAACTCTCTATCTCTCTCCCTTCCTCTCTGTAAAAAATCAATAAAATATATATTTTTAAAAAATCAATAAAATATTTATTTTTAAAAATAAAAATTTATTGATTGATTTGGGGAGGGAGGGGAGAGAAGAGAAAGAGAGAGAGGTTTTTTGTTCCACTTATTTGCGCATTCATTAGTTGATTCCTGTATGTACCCTGACTGGAGATTGAACCTGCACCCTGGTGTATCAGGATGACACTCTAACCCAGTGATGGCGAACCTATGACACGCGTGTCAGAGGTGACACGCGAACTCATTTTTTTGGTTGATTTTTCTTTGTTAAATGGCATTTAAATATATAAAATAAATATCAAAAATATACATCTTTGTTTTACTATGGTTGCAAATATCAAAAAATTTCTATATGTGACACGGCACCAGAGTTAAGGTAGGGTTTTACAAAATGCTGACACGCCGAGCTCAAAAGGTTCGCCATCACTGATCTAACCAACTGAGCTACCTGGCCAGGGCTGAAAACAATTTAGTTTTAGAAGCATCACATGAGATGGCTCAGGCCTTCTTAAACTGTACTAACACTTTTAAAAGACTTTCACTAAATTATATTGACTCATTCCTCCTCCCACATATGAATTCCTAGTCATCCTCTTGGTATGACCATAATTAGAGAGAGATAGCAAGAGCTGTTTGGAGAATGTTTTGATTTTACCACTAGGAGCAATGAAATTATGCCATAAATGTGAGGAAAGCAGATCTGGTTACCTTTTCTTTACAAAAGCCTCCTCAGTGTACCCTATCTCATCTCAAATAGTTCTGAATTAATAGAGTGTCTTAGTAATCTCATCCTATTTTAATTGTACTTAGAGAATACCACTTGTCTCTTTTTGAAAATTTGTTATGCTGCCTTCTAGCAGTCAGTAGACAGTACAAAACTTCTACTTGACGTGTGCTCCAGGAAGGTGGAGAAGGTACTTGGAAGTGATTAATGGACTATGTTGCAATCCTGTTTATGGAGGAGGGGGCTAGATTCTTATTCTCGCTGATGAAGACTTTGATATTCTCGCTGATGAAGACTTTGAGGTTAAATGATGAAAGAGTTTTAGATCAGAGCATATTATTGTCTTTAGATCACCAGTGATGCTAAGTGTTTGATCTACTTTTAATCAGCTTTCAGAAGAATAGATTGAACAATTATACAGTCAACAGGCCATATATATATATCACTCTTAGCTACTGAGGAAGAATATGGAGAAAAGAGAAAATGAAATGCCTCACTTGATAATCAAGTCTGGGTTGGAAGTTGATTTGGATTATGTACTAATAGCTAAAAACAAATTTCAGGTAGCATACATGCAGAAGTATAAGTCTGGATGCAGGGCGCAGAGAAGGCGGTGCAAGGGTTGAAGTCACGTGGGGGCAGGTTGTGTTGGAGATGGGTAGCTGTATTTTAAGCACAATAACAGGAACCTCCTCAAGTATTTGTCAATAGTCCTAAGCCCTCTGCATTGTTTAGATAAAATGGATTTGGGTTCTAAGTGATCAGACATATCTGCCGTTAGACATAATGTTCTAATTTCTCCACCTTTAACCAGAACCTCCAGGGAGCCTGGTTAATTTCAGTGCAGTCTGTGTGGTGTGTGTAACTTTTCCTTGCCAGTCACGTATCAGGATCTGTGGAGTCACATGTTAACTCTTTGCCGATATGGGCCCGGTTGTTTTCCCATCTCCTTGGACTGCCCAAACCCTACCCGTCCATTAAAACTTACTTCTGATTTTTTTTTCCCTCATCTCATTAGGACTAATCATATGATCTTTGGGAACAAGACAGTCTTGAGACACAGCTTTCCTAATATATGTTGGCAGAATCTGTGTGGGTAAATTCAGAAATTGATTTTATACATCCTGTTTTTTTTCATAGGAATTCCAAAAAAGAACTAAATGATATTCGATTCGAATTTACTCCTGGGAGAGGTAAGTCATCAAAAAAACTGGAGATAAAGTAACTGCTGCTTTGTTTAGTGAGAGGTGTTGTGAAGTTTTGTCCTTGAAATATGTTATGTAGAGGATGATAAAGATGTTCCTGATTGGGGGCATATGAATAAAATAATGCACTTTGTTACTACTCACCTCATTTAGAAAATCTAGTGCCGGTGACCCTTGAATAGCATGGGTTTGAACTGCATGGGTTGCTTATACACAGATTTTCTCAATGAATACTGTAAATGTATTTTGTCTTCCTTGTAATTTTCTTAATAACATTTTCTTTTCTCTACTTTATTATTAGACTGCAGCATATAATACATGTAACATACAAAATATGTATTACTTCTCTGTTTATGTTATTGGTAAGGCTTCCAGTCAACAGTAGGCTATTAGTAGTTAAGCTGTGGGGAGAGGCCAGAATTTCCCACTGCACTGCTGGTCAGAGCCCCACCTGCCCCTCATGTTGTTCAGTGGTCATCTGTATAATACAAACAGTAATTAATACAGTTCTAATGTACTGTTACTGTTGGCCAGACTTGTGCTCTGATAGTGTACATTATCTCATTAAATTCTCAAAACAACCCACTACATAAAGATTACCCACATTGTCTGGATGATGAAATCAAGAGACAGGTGAAGTGACTTGTCTGGGAAGAGGCGTAGCTGGAATTCAAACCCATATCTGTCAGAGGCAAAGTTCTTGCTCTTATCACTGGACACGGTTATCCTCCTGACAATAAAGAAGAAAAAAAGGAGGCTTCCAGACTCGTCTCTCCCAAGGCTAAAATTGAGCCTGTCGTGCAGAGTTTCTGGCCATGAACTTCTCCCTGGAACATGGCTTATTGCCTTCGTTACTCAGTGTTCAGATTGGGGGAGTGGCCAGCAGCAAACAGATACCTGTCCTTTGTGCCATGCTTAATCTTCTTGCTGCCTTATATCATCAGCAACTGACTATAGAAGAGAGTAGATGCAGATGTACAGAGGGGTAGTCGCTCTACTTTTTAAAAACCAGGCAGAGTCACGTACTTAAGAACTAATTCAAATTGCTGGTTGTCTGCACAAGTGTGTGCATGTCCCCTCTGAGGGGCTCAGGGTTCAGCCCTTGGGAGGGAGCATCACTGACTCCGTTGGGGGTGAGGGTAATGGGGGATACTCTGTCTTCATCTTTTTAGTTTCTCATTACAATTGCTCAGATTATAGCACCCAACATAATTAGCTATGAAGAAAAGCCCATCATCATCATCATAAAAGATTTCAGCAAAAAGTTGGGAGTGTGATCCCAAAAACAAGAGATTGCATTTTATTTTTTCAAGATTTAATTGAGAGAGAAAAGAAATCGCTGTTTTTTTAGCCCTGGGGATGTGGCAGGTTTGCCGTCATGTCTCAGAGCTCGTGAGGCACAGGCCAGGCTGCCCTTGGACCAGGCGTTTCCTCAGCAGCATCCCTGGCAGGTGCTCTCGCACTGAAATGACACCATCTTTGAGACAATTATCTTTTCCTTGAGCTCACATTTGCTCTCTGGTTGTATTGCTTTTGCCCTCCAGCTAGACCTGTGAGAATTCCTCAGTCGAGATAATCCCAGTGGTTAAACCTACGTGTGTGGGAGGAAGACCTCCACCTGCCTTCTTGGTTCTGTAGATTGAGTAGCTGAAGTCTGGCAGTGCCAACGCCTGCTCGGAGGGTTAGCAGTGACATGCAGCACAAGAAATGGACACCTCTGCTTTGTCCTTGCAGATACTGCGGAGGGCGTCTCTCAGGAACTCATCTCTGCTGGCCTGGTGGATGGAAGGGATTTAGTCATAGGTAACTCCACTCTGCTCTGCCCTGCCCCCCGTCTCTGTCTGTGTACTTAGGACCAAGAAAACCAGGCTTTGATTCCACTGAGCGCATATTAGTGGTTCTTGGAACGGTCCCTGGCTTGGCTGAAATAACAAGTATTGGGCACAGTTCCTTACGAAAAAAGAAAATGTCACTCCTGAGTTTGCTTTGTGACCTTTGGTGATAGTGAAAAGCCCACCCAGATCGCTGGGAGACTGGTAGAAGTGGTGACAAAAATTACAAGTTAAAGTAAGTTTGGCCATGTCCAATCCATTCCCTTGTGGAGCTAAGAGGTAAACAGAAATCTTTAGAGTTAGTCCTAGAAAAAGCAGGCAGTAAGATAATGCACAGTCAGCTTTGGGGAGTGATGAAACTTTCTGCTTCCATTTTAATTGTACACAGAAGATTAAAAACTACCATTTAAATTCTTAAAATATGGCTGAAAATGGATCGACTAAGCTCATTACTTTTTCTGTTTGATTACAGTGGCAGCTAATTTGCAGAAAATTGTGGAAGAACCGCAGTCGAATCGATCTGTCACTTTCAAACTGGTATTCGTCTCCTCCTCCTTATTAAACCATCTTCTTTTTTACACACCAGTAGCCCCTGCAGACCAGCTTCCATATTCTCTGGGTGATGAGAATTTTACTTTTATTTATTTATTTAAATATGTTTTTATTGATTTTAGAGAGGAAGGGGAGAGAGAGAGAGAAACATCAATCAGCTGCCTCCTGCACACACCCTGACCAGGGATGGTGCCCTCAACCTGGGCATGTGCCCTGACTGGGAATTGAACCTGCGACCTTTCAATGCCCAGGATAATGCTCAACCAACTGAGCCACACTGGCCAGGGCTGGGTGATGAGAATTTTAAAATATCGTGGATTGTGTTCACTTAGCCACTCCCCTAGGTCCTGGGCTGAAGTCTCCCTTGAGTGGCCCTCTCTTTCTCTGCCCTCCCAGGAAACCTCCTACCCCAGGCCCTTGACTGTGCTCAGGAGAGATTGTGAGCTAATTTGACTCCAGCCCCATCCCTTCGGGAAGAGATCCCTTCATCTGCCTTCTGTTTCTATCCCAGGGACCTCTCCCCTACTGCCTGCATTCCCACAATCCCCGTATCAGTTTTAATTGCTACCTGTGATTTGTTTATAAATAGCCACAGCTTCTCATTTTGTTTGGTTCTTAGGCATCTGGTGTCGAAGGCTCAGATATTCCGGATGATGGTAAACTAATAGGATTTGCCCAGCTCAGCATCAGCTAAATCACGGCCCTGGACGAGGAGGCCTCAGAAGATTCCACACATGCGTATCTCTGTTACTTCTGTGGCCTAAACCCACTACTGCCAAAGAACCCAGCAACAAACTTCCCAGCTAGGAGTGTTAGAGGTCTTTCCTCATGTTCGTCCTGCCATCATCCCCCCGTTTCCCACAGGGAAAGAAAAGTTGGATCGCCAGTGGCCAGCATCCCCTTACAGAGTTCCGTTAGTCCACTTCCACGTCTCCTACCTTCCTCCATCTGCGACGTGGCGCGCGTGCCTCAGCCCGGGAGGAGATCTTTCAGCTCATCTTGCCTTACTCCATTGATGGCGCTGGGTGGAAAGTAGCAGCTGTGTCGGGCTTCCTCGTGCTGCCTCTTCTCCCACACCGGACAGGATGTGGGCACCTTGGGATGTCTCTTCACCCCACTGAAGTAGCGAGTAAACGTTGATTGTCCAGCTGGAGCCCAGAGAATTTAATTTAGGGATTTTTTTTTTAATCTGATGTGAATTCTAGCAACCTTTGTTAGGAAAAAGCACAGCCTCAGATGGAGGCAGCCGAAACTGTCTTCGAGTTTTGTTGATGATGTTTCTAAGCGTTTTGCTGAAGCTGCTCTCAGGCACCCTCTTCATTATTCCCTCCAGAAAGGGTTGCTCGCCTTAACTTCAGCCGGTGCAAAACATCCGACTGTAGTCGAACTTCAGCCATCGGATCCTTCAAAGTGGAACTTGGAACTGTTTTTAGAGAAAATACCAAGTATTGGCTTGTTAAAGTGAATTTTCCCAGCAGTGGTTTTTGGACAGAAAAAAAAAATCATAACTCATATCATTGTGGAAGTTATTTATTTTCAGAATTTAAAAAATTAGATTGAAGGAAAACTGCTCCTCAATCCTCCCCTGAAAATCAGTTTGCCTGGCCTCCGAGTCACGAGGAAATGCAAGGCTGAGATTTCTGCAGCAATAACGGAGACCCCACTGCGCTGGAGAGGCCTGCCTCCGCCCCTCGCCTGCACTGCCCCTTCGGGGGGTCCACCCCGAGGTGCACTGAACCGGGCCCAAGGCAGAGAGCGAAACCACATGTGCCGTGACTTGGGATTTCTGACAGACAGTATTCATTTGATTTTCTACAGAAATAATGTAAATTATTCTTTAGGTTTTAAAAAAGAGCACTCATAATGCAATTTGTGAATAATCAATGGGGTTGATTTTTTTTTTTCCTACTGTTTCACAGTCAGCCTTTGTCTAATTGCAAAGAGCCCTAACGCGTTTTGTATATGTAAGGGATCCTCCATCTGGCCTTACACCACACACAGAGGGGCTTTGGCCCCAGGAAGCGGGGAGAGCTGAGCTGCCTCTTCGGGAGCGGGTCCAGCACGTCCATTGTTGGTCTGTGAATAGCAAGATTGCTTTACCTGGTTTTCTCGGAGTGTCTCAAGGCTCTCCCTACAGGTGACTTGTCACAGTTCTGGTTTCATCCGGAGCTTGTAGTTTTAGTCACGGGCTTTCTTAGCCTACCCTGGATGCAAAGGCATGTTGGGAAAGGGGTGGATGTTGGGGAGTGAGAGAGGATGGGTTTGAGACGGAGGTTGGGAAGAAAGTAGATTACGGATCAGACACCAAAGTCGATGGTCCAAGCAGGATTGTTGATGGGAGAGAGCCTGCTGAGCCTAGAGAGAGGAAAGAAGGTTGATCAGCTTGCTGGGAAAATATTTACCTTTTTCTTTCTTTTTAAAAAAAATGTATTTATTTTTTTTTAGAGGCAGGTAGAGGGAATAAAGACAGGGAGGTAGGAGTAAGTTTGAAAAAGAGATAGTGTCCTCTTTGGCGCAAGACTAGTAACTTACCCAGAGTCTGTGTTTTGGTGTCCAATAAGCCCATCATCTACTTGTTTATGAGTCCAAAGGGTGTGGCATCGCTGTTGTGGCTTTCTGTTTGTAGGCGATTAAAGCCCAGGCCGGGGGAAGCGGCAGCCCATCCTCCTGGTCAGTGTCTCCAGCCAGCCATTACCTTTGGACGGCAGTGGGACAAGCATGGCCATGGAAGTGGCTGGGGCTTTCTCTTTGCTCCCAGTTCATTGTTTGCCCTGCTGGGAATGAGGAGTCACCAAGCTGCAGGACAGCGTTAGTTCTCGTGCATGCGGTATGGTGGACTCCCTTTGCTGCCTCGCGCAGTGATGCTGAGAAAATAAGTGAACAGAAACTTCCAGGTGGAACAGCACGTGACCTAGTGAGAGGCCTCGCTCCTTTCCAGGAGTGGTGGGTGGTTCGGGGTACACCCTTTTCCCAAGGTCCCCAGGACTCCCTGTGGTAGGGACTGACTTTAGCACAAGTTAACCTGTGCCAATGCTGTTTGTGAAATGTATGGTGTTTCTAAATGACTATTGGATTTGTTTGGGTTTTTTGCTTAAGTTTTGAACCAAATCCTAGAGCCAGCTGATACTATTTAATAATCTGGAGGATAGAATAATAGTGTATCAATAAACGGAGGTTCCTCCTTACGACGTGTGCTAGATTATGGAAGATGTAAAATATTTGACTCACCCCCACCCCTTTTTTGACTTTGTATTTTGCTGCATGTTTCCTTCATTTTTAATCAATAAAGAGTAAATTGTCTGTGGTGGTGTAAGGAATCTTTACTTTAGTGGCGGTGAGTGGGGAGGAATGGGGAGTGGGTCGGAGAGTCTCTACTATAATTTTTCTTCCAAATGCAGAAAAGCGAAAGTGCACATAAACTTTAAACAATGTATATGACCTACGGAATCTTTGTACACATGGGAAAGCTGGAATCCCCAAGGGGAAAGAGAGAGGATCCACCCGAAGAAGTTTGGCAGAATGGGATAGAGAACGCCGTCTATTGATCTTTTCTGACTTGATTCCACTTGTGGATGTGGGCAGGGGAAATGCTTGATTCAAGCTCGTGAGAGTTCCTTTTGGGAAGTTCAGAGCAGGGCTGAACTGGTCTCCATTTGGCTTTGAGATTGCAATGGTGGGGTTTCATAGAAGATTCTAGGCCCCTCTATTCCTCCACCTCCTGGAGAAGTAATCTCCCTGAGCACAATCCCTTCCAGGAAGGTGGCCTTTGACCAATGATAGGACTGCTTGTGGGTCTTGGTCATCCAGAGCTCAAGTCCTGGAATTGGCAGTATCAGATCTGATTGAGTTTGCTTTTAAGATAAACAGGTCATAAAAGTGGACTCTGACTATTGTGGGGAACAGAGAGGGGGTGCTGGTTATTCAAAAGTGACCCTGGTGTCTTGGGGACGGGGCACAGCAGGAGCAGCACCCCTCCACTTGGCCATTATCTCTAACACAGTCAGATCTTGTCGAGAGAGAGTGATGATGCTCAGTGCAGCAGTTTACAGGTCCTTTCTTTGGGCCATCTCATCTACCCCTTTATTTTATAGAGAAGTTTTAGTTTCATAGCAAAATGGAACAGAAAGTATAGAGTTCCCATCTACTCCCTGAATCCATACGTGCACAAACTTCCCCGCTATCAACATCCTGCACCAGAGTAGTACATTTATTGGTGTCGATGAACCCACATTGGTAAGTTACTATCACTCAAAGTCCAGATTCATTCTTTCTGTTGTGCATTCAATGGATTTGGACAAATATATAATGACATGTATCATCGTTACAGTATCGTACAGAATAGTTTCACTGCCCTGAAATCCTCTGTATTCTGCCTGTTCATTCCTCTCTCCCCTCTAGTTCCTGGCAACTGGTGATCTCTTTACTGTTTCCATACTTTTGCCTTTTCCAGAATGTCATATAGTTAAGATCATACAGTATTTAGCCTTTTCTGAATGACTTCCTTCACCTCGTCATATGCATTTAAGGTTTCTCCATGTCTTTTCATGGCTTGTTAGCCCATTTCTTTTTAGCACTAAATAATGTTCCCTGTCTGGATGTATCACAGTTTATTAATCCATTCACCTACTGGTTGCTTCTAAGTCTGGGCAGTTATAGGTAAAACTGCAATGAACATTCATTTTGTGTGGATATAATTTTCAACTCTTTTGGGTAAATATCAAGGAACCCAGTTGTGGACGGTATAATAAGAAAGAGTATGTCTAGTTTTCTGAGAAGTCACCAGCTGTCTTCCCAAGTGGCTATACCATTTTATATTCTCACCAGTGAATATAGATTTGTCTGTACTCATATGTGTGTGTAATGGTATCACTTTTTAATTTGCAATTCCCTAATGACAATCTTGAACATCTTTTCATTTGCTTATTTGCTATTTGGCAATATATGTATATTATTGATTTCAGAGAGGGAAAGAGAGAGATAGAAATGTCAATGATGAGAGAGCATCATCGATTGGCTGCCTCCTGCACGCCCCCTACTGGGGATCGGGCCCATGACTGAACTAGACTCCTTCGAAGACCTGGGTCTTTCATCTGGTAAGACTTCTCCCCGGGGTGGGGGGGTGGGGGGTGGGGTAAAAGATGGGAGGATGGGAGCCTTTATCTTTGGGAGATTCCTCTTTGAAGTCCTGCCTTTGTTAGTCCCACAGCTGAGGCCTGTGATAGAGAAACTTGGTCCTGTGCTCTTTGGTTGTCACTGAGCCTGCCTAGGGTCGATCGCTGGGGCTACTCTGGGCAGTTGCATTTGTTTTTCATCTTGGCTTGTGTTTGTGATTGATTCCTTGATTAGAGATCAAAATGTAGCTCTTGGCTCCTCTGTAATTGCTTTGTATTCTTGAATTGTCTTCATTGCTGAAAATGAAAAGCTTTTATGCCCTTGGTGGGTCTCCTGACCTCCGTGCTGCCTTGGGATTGACTGGTGTTACACACCACCAGTACCAGGACCCACAGGAGAAAGATGAGATGATCATGAGTCAAGAGGCTAGGTTGGTCCATGGACAGGTGTAATAAATCTGCAGGCTGGGTCCTTGCAGCTCTCCTGACTTACCCTGCTCTGCTAGCGGGGGCTGGTTGCTAAAGGGACTTCTGTGTCCCTTTGGGTATCGCAACTACTCTCAGAATGTGGATTCTATTGTGATGAGGGGTTTGAACTGGGTTTGGGTAGTTTAGGATGTGGCTGTTGGCGGGGGCTGGGGGGCGCTGTATACTATATAATGTTTGGGTAAAGCTCTGTCCTGCGTGCTGGGCCTGGGAGGTTTCCAGTGTCTAATAAAACATTCTCTGATTCTGCAAGCCCGAGTGGACTATTTTTTTCATCATCCTCTATCCTTGACAGGGAGCTGAGTTGTGAAGGTGCAGCTGAGCGCGCCTGGGTTAAACATTAATGCCGCCGTTATCACAGCCAAGAGGAGCAGGGAACCCTGGGCCAAGGTGCACAGCTCTCTGCCGGCCTCTGGCTGAGGACGTGGTGGCCAATAGACATGGCTCAGTTTTCCGAGGTCTTGGCTGAAATAGGCGACTTCGGTCGCTTTCAGGTGCAGCTGCTGCTGCTGCTGAGTGTCCCCAACTTCCTGTCCGCCTTCTATATGTTTGGCCAGGTCTTCATGGCCCTGGAGGAGCCCCACCACTGCTCAGTGGCCTGGGTCAAGAACCTCACCTTGAACCTGAGTGCTGCCGAGCAGCTGAACCTGAGCGTGCCCCTGGATGCTGCGGGCAATCCCGAGCCCTGCCGCATGTTCCGGCCGCCCCCCAACGGTGCCAGCCTGGAGGACATCCTCAGCCACCGCTTCAATGAGACACAGCCTTGCGAGGCAGGCTGGGAGTATCCCGAAGACAGGCCCCTGTCCCTAAAGAACGAGGTAGGCTGCCTTTGGGGCTGGCTGTCCACTTGTTTGGGGTCTGTCACTTCCTCTGCCGTACGCCTTGCCCTCAGTCACTGGCGTTGCTGCCTTTGTCTTGCCCCTATGCCTGAATGGTTAACCATTGATATGCCTGTTTGTCTTTATGCCAATTACCCTGTTTTTCTCTCTGTCCTCTGCCTCCAGGCCCGTCTACCTCTCCATCCGTTTCCTCTATCTGGTTTCTCGGCCCATCTGTCTGTCCATTTTTGCCTG